TATATATATATATATATATGTTTGTAAATTGCAGTTTCGAAAACAAGTCACATTCCTTTTGACATCTTTCATACTGCAATCAGTGTAATCATTTGCATATGTGCACTCATATTTCTAAATACTCATGTACAAGTAAATATGTCAAATCTCCACTGAGTATGTATGTTTCTTTGTATGCACATAAAATATACATTTATGCATTTCATTTCATTTCATTTGACCGACATTGTTGCTTGTAAAAGTAAGCAAGTTTCATTCAAGTGTCGTGCACTTGCAACCACATACACACGATTCCACATACTAAACATACTCATACCTCTATACATTTTTACATGCACATGCACTCAGCATACGCTCGCAAGCAGTGGTAATGCAAATGGAAAATGACATATGAGAATTTGATTTGATGTGGAAATAAGATTTGCGCTGTAAAATTTCTATTCACAAGCTTGCAAATATATGAACATGTACTCCTATACATACATACTTAGTTCCACATAAGTTTCGGTCAAGGCTGTAAATCTGTGCAATTTGCACACACGCAAAAATGAGAACACGAGCAGAAGTTGGTATACTCGTAAATGATGTGTTGAAAACTAATCAATGAGGCGAGTTTGTTTTACTGCTGCAAACGTTATTTATTTCTATTTAACTTTATTTCACTGCAGCAATGAAATTTACAACCAACTGCTGCATGTACGTCTATATATCAGCGGTTGTACGAGTTTAGGTTCGTAATTTATTTTTGATATTTGATACCGTAGTGTCTTATTAGCAAAAAATACGTAAATAAATAAACAAAAAAAATTCGAAACTTATTTATTTTTTTAAACTTCCCATGTATTTACACGTATTTCTCCTTAAATTTAATTAAATTCTTCTCATTTAAGAATTTTTTATTTTTATTTTTAAAATATATCTATTCAAAACGCAAACCATTCGTTACAACAGCCTATTTCCACCGGACGTTAAATGCATTTTAGCTTAAATGCATTTAAACATCCTATTTAAATGCGTGAATTCCCATAGGTTTGTTGTTGCATAAAAGTGTGTTAACTCACTGTCGGTAATTTAACAGCAAATGTTGAGTTAACAGTCGATGCTATCACTACTTATGTAATAATTTCCAGAGCCGAGTATTTTCGGATTAAGGGGCACACCTAGTGTGAAATTGCAAAAAATCGATCTTTTTCATATTTCGGTAGATTACAACTTCAAAAATAACATATTAAACTTTCAAATCGATATCTCAAATAGTATTTGAGTTAAAGCAATTTAAAGAGCAGCCGCTCGGCCTAGAGATTCTCATTAGCTACGAGTGAAAACGATCATTTTATCTTAAAACGCGTTTTTCTCGAAGCAGAATTTTCCGAATTTGTTGGAGTGACCACTCAAAAACAAATGACCCGATCACTATCGAGTTTTTTTACTTGTTCTATATATAGTTCTCCGTACAATGACCTATCGATTTTTGATGTGATAAATCGAATTTTGGCAGACTGAAAACGACCAAAATTTTGGGTAAATTTCAACAATTTTTTTTTAATGCCGCCATATTGTCAATTTTATGTATAGAATTTTTGTTTTATATTTCATCCACGGAGAAGGCCGGAATCACTGCAGCAGTAAAGGACCTTTTTTCGCACTTAACTTAAAAAATATTTAATTTTTTTCTTCAAAAACTTCACTGTATATTATTGAAACATGTATAAATATATTCTTAAAATTTTGAAATAATTGACAATGTATTTTTTTAATAAAAATTCCCAAAAAAACACATTTTTTTGGGCCATTACAATTTTTGATCATTTTTTGTATAAAAGTACAAAGTGTCAGGAATATTTTCCCCAAGTTTCAAGTCGATCGAGACGAAACTGTAGAAATTAGAGAGTTTTACAATATAACCGCCGTCTTTGTCATGGCTTGACCGATGATAAAACTATAAACGCGTTTCTCTTAAAACTACTTTGTCGAAATTGAGAATCAAAATTTCGTAACGACTATTAAAGCGATCGAGTTCAATTTTTCCACACTTCTTTTGAGCATGTTTTTGTAGTCCCTGAATGAAGGATTTATTTTATCTTTGATTTCAACTCATTTTACAAGCCAATGAGTGGCCTAATTTTAGGCAAAAATGCACGTTTTTTGTAAAAAAAAAAACACTACAAAAAATGCAATTTTTTTAATTTTTTAATTTTTTTTGTTGAGGAATAGGGCAAATTAACCTCCTTTAAGAAAAAATTTGGTTTTTCGATTTCAGATAAAAATTGAAAAATTATCATAACTACCGCGAAAGCACTTTCTTGTGGACGGTCTACTTCTCGACACTGCCAACGCCTTAACTTATACTATTTTTCATTCAAATTTCCATCAAATGTTGTCCACATATTGTACTTTTATTATAAATAAAATAATTTTTATACTTTATATAGTATCTTTTAAAAAAAAATTGAGAAAATAAGCTTTTTTTGGCCTTCAAGACCTATGTTACCCCTTAATGAGGGACGAGATTTTTATTTTGCATGGTGAAATTCTTTCTGCAAAAATTACTGTTTGGCAATAGTTTTAATGTCAATAAATAAATTAAGTAATTGGCAAATAGAATGCTTCTCCTTCTCCAAATAGAAAAAATAACAAGCAAATATAACCAAAAATTGAATTTGCAAACGATCCCCTCAACATAAAAATAAGTGTGACTTTGGCAGCTATCAGCTGATGAGAAATTTGAGGAATTAAACAAGCAAGAATGAAATTGGAAACATGCATAAAAGCAATTTCATTTCAGCAGCGTTTGCCAGTGCAGCAATATTTTGTTCTGGCAAATCGTAAAATAGCATATGTGACAAATATTGCAAACTGGAAATGTAAACAAAAATCAGCTGTTTGAATCAAATCACTTTCGGTAAATAAATTTGTACCACCTACTCAAACGTATGTTTTATTTCCACACACGCTTTCAAGTGGAGTTTCATGACAGAAAACGTACACAAGCAAGTCACCTACTTTAAATTATTTATTATGCATTTGATTTTGAACCCCCCACACTTCTCATTTGCTGCTCAATATTCTCCAAAGTGCCACTCCCTGACTCAAACACAATTGCCTGAATATGGACATCCCAATTATGCTGTCAGCATACACGTACATGTTGATATTTTGGAGAATTGTGTTACACTAATCTTCATTACTGTCCTCATCATCATCATTAATAACAACTAGAACATATTTGCTGCCCTGCATTATTTTTTTTCTCCGAAATATGCTCTTACATTTATGTCAGCTTTTGCTTGCCAACCATGAGTGATGAGTGACGTCTATGCTGTGTGTAGTCACGGTTAATGAGACATTAAACTTTTTTAGCTGCCGACAGGCGTAGTTTTATTATTAAAGATTTCATTTTAATAATTTTTTGGATTTCGTTTTTAAATTTTTAATTAATATCATAAAATTTAATTTAATACAATTTAATTTAATTTACTTACATTTTTTGAATTTAATTTTATTTTTGTTTAATTTACTTAATTTTTTTATTTTTTATTTTATTTTATATAACTATAATTTAATCTATTTTATTTTATTTAATTTAATTTTGTTTCTGGTAGTGCATATTATGTTCATTACTCAGAACAACTCAACTACATAACTTACTGTTTACTTCCAATGTTTCTCTTCAACTTTGTGCTTAATTCTTAAAGTTCATTATATATACTATAATGTGGTGAAGTCGTTCAGTCTGTTCTTGACATCCATCCAATAAACCTTATGTAACTAAGGCGATCGTGTGTTTCATTTCTCGGACTTCTAATTCTGTTCTGTTATTTTATTTTATTTTATTTTATTTTATTTTATTTTATTTTATTTTATTTTATTTTATTTTATTTTATTTTATTTTATTTTATTTTATTTTATTTTATTTTATTTTATTTTATTTTATTTTATTTTATTTTATTTTATTTTATTTTATTTTATTTTATTTTATTTTATTTTATTTTATTTTATTTTATTTTATTTTATTTTATTTTATTTTATTTTATTTTATTTTATTTTATTTTATTTTATTTTATTTTATTTTATTTTATTTTATTTTATTTTATTTTATTTTATTTTATTTTATTTTATTTTATTTTATTTTATTTTATTTTATTTTATTTTATTTTATTTTATTTTATTTTATTTTATTTTATTTTATTTTATTTTATTTTATTTTATTTTATTTTATTTTATTTTATTTTATTTTATTTTATTTTATTTTATTTTATTTTATTTTATTTTATTTTATTTTATTTTATTTTATTTTATTTTATTTTATTTTATTTTATTTTATTTTATTTTATTTTATTTTATTTTATTTTATTTTATTTTATTTTATTTTATTTTATTTTATTTTATTTTATTTTATTTTATTTTATTTTATTTTATTTTATTTTATTTTATTTTATTTTATTTTATTTTATTTTATTTTATTTTATTTTATTTTATTTTATTTTATTTTATTTTATTTTATTTTATTTTATTTTATTTTATTTTATTTTATTTTATTTTATTTTATTTTATTTTATTTTATTTTATTTTATTTTATTTTATTTTATTTTATTTTATTTTATTTTATTTTATTTTATTTTATTTTATTTTATTTTATTTTATTTTATTTTATTTTATTTTATTTTATTTTATTTTATTTTATTTTATTTTATTTTATTTTATTTTATTTTATTTTATTTTATTTTATTTTATTTTATTTTATTTTATTTTATTTTATTTTATTTTATTTTATTTTATTTTATTTTATTTTATTTTATTTTATTTTATTTTATTTTATTTTATTTTATTTTATTTTATTTTATTTTATTTTATTTTATTTTATTTTATTTTATTTTATTTTATTTTATTTTATTTTATTTTATTTTATTTTATTTTATTTTATTTTATTTTATTTTATTTTATTTTATTTTATTTTATTTTATTTTATTTTATTTTATTTTATTTTATTTTTGTTAGTAAAGCGCAATGAATAAAACACGACCGTTCTGATGTAGAGCATTTAATCAAGAGAAGTAAAATATGGAAACTTACAATACAATAGTACTTAAGAGTTACAGTTATTATGCGCAATTGGGTTGCTGATGCTAAACTTAGATTTAGTGTTACCTTACAATCTCCGCCTCAACCCAAATGCGAATTCATATAACAAATTCAAAAATATATACATTCGCATAATAAATTACATAATGTATACAATAAATTTACAATAGTTACAATATCAGTTTAAGAGAAACTTAGCTTTGACAATTTACTTCGTTCTCAAATGATATGACTATCGCCATTCAAATTCAATAAACATCGATGGAATGAAATTTCCTTCGCCCCTTGGTATATAGCGATATTTTCTGCTTCCAACGAACTTATTCAAATCTCCTGCTGATGGCGTGGTACCCGCTTTACTTTTTCTCACATTACCACGTATACCGTCTCGCTCGATTTCCATCCGCAGATATAACTTTATTTGACCTCGATCACCTGCTTCCACCTGCGCGCAGAGTTTTTTAACGCTGTCGCGCATAGTTGACTCGAGCGGGCACGTCATAAGAATGTCATCAACATATGTCGTAATGATGTTTATTTCTCCGCCTCTAAACATAGTGTACAAACAACTATCCGTTTTACGAATGAAACCAATTTGTGAGAGAATAAAATCTTCAAATCTTCGCCGACCACTATCTTGCGCAACCAAATGCCCTTTATTCTTCTTTATCTTACCATCTGCATTATATTTGGTTGTAAAAACCCATCTGCTTCCAATAACGTTTTTCCCCTGTGGTAATTCTACCAATTCCCAGGTACCGTTCTCCATGAGAGCCACATGTTTCGTTTGCATTGCGTATCGCCACTGAGTCCCACTTTCCGACTCCAGTGCTTCAATAACAGTGACTGGATTTGCAATGATACCGTTTAACGTTTCAGAACCCACTGGCTGTTCAGTGACATACACTTTACCTGACCTTCCAGTTCTCTTACGTATACCAGCAACAACTTCCACCGCTTCATTAGACGACCACTCCAACTGTAGCGTCTCTCTTACATCTAAGCATTCGTTTGCATTCCTTGAAAATGTTGTTGCTCCCGCTGATGCTCTGCCTTCTATATCGACGACTGCATTCTCGCGGCTGCTATTCACACCTACGCATTCTATCATACCTGTGCTTGTGCTGCTTACCGCTCTGCTATCGCTTTCGTTTTCTGTGCTTTCGCNTTTATTTTATTTTATTTTATTTTATTTTATTTTATTTTATTTTATTTTATTTTATTTTATCTTATTTTATTTTATTTTATTTTATTTTATTTTATTTTTTTATTTTTTGTTATTTTTTTTAGTTAATTTTATTTTGTTAATTTTATGCTATTTTATTTTATTTTATTTTATTTTATGATATTTTTGTACTTATATGTACAATTGTATGTATGCGTATGTTCAATAATTTGATATACTTAAGCAAATACTGCATATTTTAATATTTATATTCAGTTTGTAGCAAACGAACATGTTTTTGGGCGGGGAAAATATTTGTTGAAATTTTGCCAAAAGTAATGGGAATTATTTTTCTATTCCGAATTTCGGGAGCCGCACGGATATGAAAAATATTTTTTAAATTGGAATTTTATTTAGGTTTTTTTTTCTGTTTGTGTATATTTATAGTAACATAGATAAAATTTTATATTTTGGATTTTATTTTGTTCATTTTGTTTTCTTTTTTACTGGAAAATTCAATGACAATCTGTTGTTATTCACTCCCTTCTACCAGTTTTTTGAGATATATATTATTTTATTATTTGTAAAATCACAATCACAAAAGCAACTTTTTGGCAACAATATTGCTAAAAACTATATACTCGTATATGTATAAGAGATATGTATAAACCGTGTAGTCAGCTGACCTGGCTAAAAACTTCATCACAACTAGTGTGGTGAGTAAGTTGAGCTAACCAGGATAATAAATTCTTTAAAATATATTAGTTTATATCAAAATCATAAAATAAACCGCAATCGATTTTAATTATTAATGACTATATTTGCATATGGTATAGATTTGATAGTGCCTACTTGCGAACTAGTGCTCTCTGGACCAATTTCATAACTATCCTTATAGCAGGCTTTGTGTTTGTCCACACACACTAATACACTACGTTGTCGTGCAGTTCGTTCAAACATTTTCTGGCAATATGGTCCCAACGTTTCGCCATTTTTTCTTTCAACAAAATGAAGTGGCAACATTTGTCGACCCACCGTTTTTGACCATTTTGCATATTCAATATTTGCAACCGCAGGCAGAAACAATTTCGACAGTTGTTCTATGTATTTTGTGTGCTCTCAACAACAACAATAACAATGAGAACCGACTAAACACAGCTGCTGTCACTATTCAGTGATTTGCATAAATTCCGCACGATTTGGCAGCGTCGGAAGCAACTAAGCGCACCAAAATGCCAAATATTGAATGGAAAAGTGAAATAATAGTCCAATACGGAGAATCAAGCAGACACATTTATGAAATTTTGAATATTTATTGTTTTAATAAACATTTTGAAATATGCAATTTTAACGTTCATACATATAACGGTCTATATATACGTAGTAAACATAAAATGGAACAGCAAGCTTCTGCGAAATCTGTTAAAATTTTCCAATATTTTGCGTATTTTCCATTCAGCCAGCATGTTTGCGGCACGTTTTATATAAAATTGCTTCTAGCGGAAATTCATTATTAATAATTTTGCAATTGATATTGCATAAATAATTACCAAAACGAGTGAATGACCAAAATTTATTAAATTGTTAATATCAATTTGTGACTTATTTAATTATTTAGAGGTGTTAATGTTTGCTCGTACGTTGCGCTGCTGAAATGTCAACTGGCTGTGGCAAGTGGCAAATGGCAAGCGGCAGGGATGAATTTCGTAAATGCACAATAACGGCAATCTGAGCATAATTAAATATACCCGACTGCTTCCATTTCCGCTAACTGTTGATTAAATATTTAATACAATTGCTTGCAGATTTTAACACTTAATTATGCACACAAATATTTTTTACTCTGGTGATGCCTAAATGTATGCTACATCGAACATTTTTTTAATAAAATATTTAAAGGGAATTTTAACAAAAATTGTAATTTAAAAAATAAGGACTAAATTGTATTTGTATTACTCAAGTACTATGTATGTATGTATGTAAAAAGAAAAGAAGTCAGAAAAATTTAAAATCAAAATGCAAAAATGTTCGTTAATAAAGATCCGGTGATATCCAAAAGTTACCTACTAATTGCTTTGAAATTTTCCTAGACTATTTCTACGGTTCCTTTGAAGATTTTTATAAAAAATTTTATTGGGAAATGAACCAGATGCTGACCCATTCGAAAAAACGTATTTATTGTTCGGTTTATTTGAAATTCGAGACAAAGAAGTCTTAAAACAAAGGCAACTTTTCGCTAAGGGAAAGCACGAGGGACTTACCTATCCAAAAAAATGGTACTTACATCCGGATTGGGCTTAGTACATATTACGACAAGGCAATCTTTTTGGTGGGGATTAATGCTCTGGATCGGTTGTTGCATTCCATTTGGCAAGCACTAATATTGCTGTTAGGAGATTTAAGTCAAACACAGCCTTTTATTCCTCGATCTGTATCAGAGGGCGAGGTCAAACATGAATCAACCTTGGATTGCTCCCTATGGTAACATCCCAATAGGAACAGCTTACACAGCAAAGCATTATACTCCTTTACTCGTAACATTGATACTTCACTGTGCAAGTGAAGGTCCGGCGACATCAGCAGATTTCCTGTCGTGGTCCTAAGGGCGGTGTTCTGGCAAGAATGTAACTCCTGCGCACATGTTTGGCGTGTATGGTGCTGGGTGCTCAAGAAAATTATTTGACTCGAGTCGTCGAACAGTAAACAAGCATGAATATAATGAAGTAAGCGAGAAGTGCGATCACATTACACCGCGTGTGTACTCTCGAAAGATTAAAGGAAAATGCATTGGTCAAAAAACTATAAAGGAACATAATAGAAGCAGCAATTATGATTGGACCTCACAACCCTATCACTCCATCCGATACTCACTTCATCTCTAGCAACTACAATTTCCAGTTCGACTGGCCCAGGATATGTATGTTCTAGGATTGGCAGATCAGATAATATTTGTTTTCTAGGCATGGATGTAGTATGCTCAGAGGTATTGGGTACGTAAATAATAATAAAAATGTATCCTGTGTGTAAATTTTCATATATTAATGGGAATTCGCCTCTTTGGCAGCTCATTAGTACATAAAAATTCCGAGAAAATACACAAATTAAGTTTGCAAAGAATAATAATGAACAGCAAAATAATGTGATAAAAAATTTGGCAATGAAAAAGACTGTAAGAGAACAAAGTGAAGGTTGAATGCGTAAAAGTGAAAGCGGGAAAAACAACACTTCTGGTGTTTCATTTTGTGCGGACAAAAATGAAGACAATGATAAACAGAAGGCATAATAAGCGCACCAGCATCCAAGTAAGCATCAAAGAAAACGACGAATACACAAACAAAGGTACTTTAAAAAAGAATCTTATGAAATAAATAAATTTGTGTATGCAGAGGCTTTCAAGACAGCCTTTACTCGTATTCCTCATCTAACTTTTTTCTTTGATCTTTTTACACACGTTTGCTTGCTCCTTACCCACATTTTTCGTGTCGCTCTTTACTGCATCGGAAATGTCAACAACACCTTTGATTCCTAATTTTCCCTTTTGTGCAATTATTCGTTTTATTTTTAGAATAATTTTCATTCCTTGTGCTTCATTCAAACTTTTACATAAATGATAATTTAGGGACTTTGTTTTGCTCATTTACGATTTTTTATTTAAACACCTTAAGATTCTTTGAGGCTTAACATTAATTTTCCTATATATAATATATGGCGCAGGCACCGTTAGCGCCATTATGACCGTATTAACAACAGAATGACTGCGATACCTGCAATGTAGTGCATGTGCTGCATTTCTTCTTATAACTTGAAGAGCTCATTGTATCAACGTCTATTTGCCATCATCTTTACGGAAAATGCCAAAAAAAATCCACCTCTGGAAAACTTCCTCACCGAGTTATCGTGCGATATCATTGCTCACATATGCATTTATGTCTGCAAAAAAAAAAAGGAATAGAAGTAGTTTTTGTTAGTTGAGAGAGTGATTTAATATTTATTTGGCGCCTCAGTCCAAGTGACACCTGTTTGCTAAAGCGATTTACCGTTGGATTTCGAGGCTAGTGTTCTTTTTGGTGTTGTTGGTAGTTCTAAGACTGGAGAGATCTCGCACACTTTCAAATTGTAAAAAAGGACTAAGATGTTGATCCTTCCAATGTGGGGTGGTATTGGGCATTCTCTACTTTCACTGGTAGATTTAGTATCGAGTATTTTCAGAACTGGGGTTTTGTATCTAATACGAACAATTTGACGTAGTCATTAAACCGCTAAATTATATCAATAGTACAAAAATAACCTATATTAACGCGAGTTGAATGAAGCACTGATAAGTTGCTATCACTTTAATGTTGGTGGGTCTGAGCTTATCTCAATTTGCGTCCCATCCTCAGGCATCCTTTTGTCGCCTATTTTTTGCCAAGAAGTTGATGAATGCATCTTTTTAGCTGTTTGACAGCATATCTAAATAGTTCAGACGGTAAGACACCGGCTTCTACCCCTTTAGTATTTTTTTAGCGCCGAGTTGCAGTTCGAGCCACTGTACCTCTTGGCGATCGTTATGGATTGCAGCTTCAGGTAATCTCCGAGTGAATCAGTTTCATTATTTCGAAAGGCTGAATAAATGTTAACCTCAATAAACTCGCTATTTTGGTATTTACGTATCACTTCTTTGTCTTCAACATGACTACTTTGCGGTTTTGAAACCTTCCGAAAGTCACTGCCATTTTCTTAAAATATTTTCGATCATTACCATCAGTCGGTTAGCTTCTCAAGCTTTTTATACTCGCTTCTGTTTTATGCGCATGCCTTTCGCATCCACCTTTTACTCTAAGGGTTTCTTCGGCCTTAGGAGCCTTACTGTTCACCGCCACTTTTCGACAATATCAGCTCTTTTCTGAAGCTCGTCGAAAACTAATAGAGTTGTTGTTGTTGTACGTAGATAGCTTGCAATGCTGTCACACGGTTATCCTAAACAAAATAGCTGATAATTGTTCTCAGCTAGC